GGGGGGGGGGGGGGGGCGTAAATGCAAAGAAGAATGGAACTGGAGGCGTATTACCACAAGAAGTAAGTGGATCAAGGAAGTAAGAAAAGAGACAGAAATCCACCTTAGGCCTTAGCGAAACTGTTTCTGCAGACAAGCAGGGATAAACCACAATCCCACAAATTAGGATTAGGATTAAGGGCTGGCCAATGCTCAAATGATTCACATCTATGTCTATAGCCAATTATACCTCTTGCCCAGTCATATTCAACACAGATGTCTGTTCCCAAACTGTAAATCAGCATCCCCAACCCAACTCACAGCTAATGATTATGAAGGAAAAAAAACTCACCTTCCATTCGGGTAATGGTTTAATAAAAATCTCAGTATCCCTAATATCTCACTGCTGGTGGAATTATATTTGAAGCATATGTTTAGTTAGATGCCATCAAGTCCAGCTATACTGTATCTGCTACACAGAGAAAATCATGGCTTCCATATTGTAGTAATCTGAAGCTCTTCCAAAACTTTCCTGTCATCTCCTTCATCTGGCCAATCCATTTTATCCCTTTTCTTCCCCTTCCCTCACTCTAACCTATCTTCTCTAATCATAACTCACTCCCTTTCCATTTTGACATTGTGATCAGAAATGCAGTCACAAGTTCTTTCCACACTGCATGCATGTATATGGCCTCTCCCCCATGTGGCTCCTTTTGAGAGGTTCACTACTCTGAATGAAGCTCCTTCTATATTATGTACTGGTGAGTGGGTTTTCCTTTGGGTGGATCCTTTTATGAAAAGAGAGGGAAGTGCGCTGACTGAAACTCTTTCCACACTCCTCGCACTGATATGGTTTCTCTCCCGTGTGGATCCTCCTATGTGAAGTCAAGGAACCACTTGTACTGAAGCTTCTTCCACACTCCATGCATGGATATGGTTTCTCCCCTGAGTGGATTCTTTTATGGGAAGTAAAGGAACTCAAGTCTCTGAAGTTTTTTCCACAATCCACACATTTAAATGGTTTCTCCCCACTGTGAATCCTTTTATGGGAAGTAAGGTTACTGCTCATACTGAAGCTTTTTCCACACTCCATGCATTGATACGGTTTCTCCCCTGAGTGGATCCTTTTATGTGAAATCAGTGAACTGCTTGTATGAAAGCTCTTTTCACAGTCTGTGCATTGATATGGCTTCTCCCCTGTGTGGATCCTTTTATGGGAGGTAAGTTGATTGTTTTGAGTAAAGCTCTTTCCACACTCCATGCATTTATATGGTTTCTCTCCTGTGTGGATCCTTTTATGAGAAATGAGTTCACTGCTTGTACTGAATCTCTTTCCACATTCCATGCATTGATATGGTTTCTCCCCCGTGTGGATCCTTTTATGGGAGGTAAGTTGATTGTTTTGAGTAAAGCTCTTTCCACACTCCATGCATTGATACGGTTTCTCCCCTGAGTGGATCCTTTTATGTGAAATCAGTGAACTGCTTGTATGAAAGCTCTTTTCACAGTCTGTGCATTGATATGGCTTTTCCCCCGTGTGGGTCCTTTTATTGGGGGGTAGTTTGTTGTTTTTAGTAAAGCTCTTTTCACACTCCATGCATTTATATGGTTTCTCTCCTGTGTGGATCCTTTTATGAGAAATGAGTTCACTGCTTGTACTGAATCTCTTTCCACATTCCATGCATTGATATGGTTTCTCCCCCGTGTGGATCCTTTTATGGCAAGTAAGGGAACTACTTGTGGTGAAGCTTTTTCCACATTCCATGCACTGATACGGTTTCTCCCCTGTGTGGATCCTTTTATGGGAGGTAAGTTGACTGCTATTAGTAAAGTTCTTTCCACACTCCATGCATTTATAAGGCTTCTCCCCTGAGTGGAACCTTTTATGAGAAGTAAATGAACTCAAGTCTCTAAAACTCTTTCCACAGTCCATGCACTGATAAGGTTTCTCCCCCGTGTGGATTCTTTTATGAGAAATAAGTTGACCACTCTGACTGAAGTTCATTCCACAGTCCGTGCAATGATATGGCTTCTCCCCTGAATGGATCCTTTCATGGCAAGTAAGACCACGTCTCATTCTAAAGTTCTTTCCACACTCCATACATTTATATGGTTTCTCCCCAGTGTGGATCCTTTTGTGGGAAGTAAGGTTACTGCTCCAACTGAAAGTTTTTCCACACTCCATGCATTGATATGGTTTCTCCCCTGTGTGGATCCTTTTGTGGCAAGTAAGGTCACTCCTTATTCTAAAGATCTTTCCACATTCCATGCATTTATATGGTTTATCTCCTGTGTGGATCCTGTTATGGGAAGTAAGACCACGTCTCATTCTAAAGCTCTTTCCACACTCCATGCATTTATATGGCTTATCTCCTGTGTGGATCCTTTTATGGGAAATGAGATCACTGCTTGTACTGAATCTCTTTCCACACTCCGTGCACTTATATGGTTTCTCCCCTGAGTGGATCCTTTTATGGGAAGTAAGGGAACCACTTGTGGTGAAGCTCTTCCCACACTCCATGCATTTATATGGTTTCTCTCCTGTATGGATCCTTTTATGGGAAGTAAGACCACGTTTCATTCTAAAGTTCTTTCCACACTCCATACATTTATATGGTTTCTCTCCTGTGTGGATCCTTTTATGGGAAACGAGATCACTGCTTGTACTGAAACTCTTTCCACATTCCATGCACCTATATGGTTTCTCCCCTGTGTGGATTCTTTTATGGGAAGTAAGAGAACCACTTGTGGTGAAACTCTTTCCACATGCAGTGCATTTATATCGCTTCTCCCCTGCGTGTATCCCTTCATGAATAGTAAGATCAATACTCTTGTGGAAGCTCTTTCCACACTCCATGCATTTATATGGTTTCTTTCCTATGTGGGTCTCTTTATGTAAAGCAAGATCATTGCTTGTATAGGAACTCTTTCTGCAATCCGTGCATTTATATGACTTCTCCACTCTATGGATTCTTTTATGGGTATTAAAAGTACGGCTCTCATTAAAGCTTTTCCCACACTCTGGAGATTTATATGGTTTTTCTATCTCGATCCTTTGATGTAAAGTAAGACAGAGATTGAAATCATTTTTTCTATATTCCCTGCAGCCAAGTGGCTTCCCTTTAGTGTGGGTTCTGCTATATTCATCTGATTTATTGCTGAACATTTTTCCACCCTTTAAACAGCTTCTTTTTTCTTTATGATGTTGCATATGGAAAGTGCGGTTTTCTCCATACTGAAAAATAGAGAATTTCTGCATCCTATTGTTCAACTGATTTTCTCCACGCACATTTGCCTCCACCTGATTGTTCAATATCCCTTCACCAGTTTCAGTTTTTTGCAAAGATTTCACACCTGGTTCTTTATTAGCCTCAGTGTCCTGCCTGTCAACTGTTTGGAATGAAAAGAAAAACAGAAAATTCATGAGATGTTTGAGGCACAAAGTGAAGGTAACATCACATCATATTAGCCACATTTTTTATCTCAACACTACTGTACCAAGATTTTTCCCTCTAGGCTGCATGGTGCTGGGAATATGTCTGGGGCATTGTTTCCTACATCTCTGATCCTTCCTGTGAGGTTATCTGCAGAATGCTGGACTGCTTGGAGGCAACTGAGGTATGATGTCCCACAGGACTCCATTATTTTTCCCCCAGCCATTCAGTGTGAGTAGGAAACCTCTGAGGAGGACCATCTAGAGTTCTGGAGTGGGATATCACCAGCTTTAATGCTTCCTAACATTCAGTTTCAACTGTGAGGGAAGACAAGTTGAAAATAAATCAAGAGAAAATGGAGCTGCTGTTGCTACAAGGAATCTGTATTTGGGTACTGAGATTCAGCATGTTTGAGATGAGATTGCCCTCCCTTGAAAAAAGAGGTCTCCACTCCAGGAGTCTTCTTTCATCCTCAGCTGTCCTTGCATTTGTTGCAGCAGCTACAGAAGGGAGGCTTTGGGGCAAATCAGAGGGAGAGCCAACAGGGTGGAAAGTCACCAGCCAAACAGAGAACCCTAGCAGTAGCATCTTTGAGATAAACAGTGTGAAACTATCAGGACTTTCAAATGCCATCATTATAGAGAAAAAAGGAATGCAAAAGGAGCTTTGAAGGCAACCTACAAACCCAAATGAGCAGGAATGGAAACTGTCTGGGAAGGTGCTTGTTCCTCCTTCTAGGGGCAGCATGAAAACGTTAGCCCTTCCTACCAGAACAAATGGAAGAAGCAATTATATTATTATTGTTGATTGCACAGTTGGCCAGTTGTTTAGACTGGATTTTGCATTTTTATCCACCCATCAAAGGCTTCCCAAGGACCTGGGATAGGCAGTTGTTGTTATTTGATGGTGTTAAAGATATTGTTGCAGGATATAAGCTGTTCCAAGTAAAGCTGCTTTTTGCAACTGACTGATGGTGATTTTGTCAATGCCGATGGTGTTCAAGTGGTGCTTCAGATATTTTGGGATTACACCCAAGATGCCTATTACTATTGGTACTACCTTTGCTTTATTATTGTTATTATTAATACTACTACTACTATTTTGATTTATATAGCTGCCCATCTCCCATACATGACTCTAACCGCAAAGCACAGAAGGTTATTTCACTTCTCTGTAGGAAAAGTACTGACCTGAATCTCCTCTGAAAAATTGATTAGCTGGTTATTCTTGACCAGAAAATACCTTCCCCACTTATCTGAACCCAGAGCAAAAGGGATCCCTTACCCATGGAGTCAACATTCTTAGCATTTTCCAGCATGACTTCTCTGTACAGGGATTTTTGGTCAAAATCCAGCAGAGCCCACTCCTCTTCAGAGAAAAACACAGTTACATCTTCGAAGGACACGGGAACCTGAAGTACAAAAGCATTCCTTGTTAGTGTACAGTTCCAGAAAGTATTTGCAAATTCTCTATCCTAATGACCAATTTTGCTGATTCTGTAGGACCTTCAGTCGCATTCAGTGATAGCAATCCTAATATCCTTTTTAGTCTACTCCTGAGACAAGACTAGGGTGCAGCTCAGCCTCCAATACTTCCTGCAAGGTTGCTTCATCGAGCAAGTATTGGGATACTCCTATATGACATATTAACCAATGTCTTATGTTGTCCACTAGGAAATACGTAGTCTTCATTCAACAACTAGATGAAGTTGTTGGGAGATGTCCTCCAGACATCTTGAGATGCCATGAATGTATGGATGATATCAGATTACTGAGAAGCTGCTCATGCCCTGAAAAACTGGTTAGATGAGAGCTAATAAACTAGCTCAGGAAAAGGGATTCAGACCACTTTGGAGAGAGTTGCATGTTCCTTGAATAAATCATGTTGTACTTTGGGAGGCGGGGATCCTCCCCCTACCTGAGCTGGAAGTACAATCACTGTTTCTGCTCCACCACAAAGAGATGTTTCCACCGGTATCATCATTGTTGTTCCATTTTCTGAGAGCAAGATAAAAGGTTAGGAAATGCTTGTTTTAAAAACAGCT